TGAATGGGAGAAAACATTTGCAAATGTTGTGTCATATAAGGGGTTAATTTCCAAAACATACAAAGAACTCATACAACTCAATTAAAAAAAAATAACCCAATCAAAAACTAGCAGAAGACCTAAATAGACATTTCTCCAAAAAGACATGTAAATGGCCAACAGGCATATGAAAAGATGCTCAAAACTGCTAATTATTAGGGAAGTGCAAATGAAAACCACAGTGAGACATCACTCACACTGGTCAGAATGGTCATCATCAAAAAGTTTACAAATAATAAATGCTAGAGAGGGTGTGGAAAAAAGGGTAGACTGTTGGTGGAAAAGTAAATAGGTATAGCTACTATGGAAAACAGTATGAAGATTCCTCAAAAAACTAAGAATAGAACTACCATATGATCCAACAATTCCACTCCTGGATGTGTATCCAGAAAAGACAAAAACCCTAGTTGAAAAAGGTACATGCACCCCTGTGTTCATAGCAGCACTATTTATAATAGCCAAGACATGAAGCAGCGTAAGTGTCCATCAACAGATAAATAGAATGGCCATCATAAGGAAGATGAGAAAGGATAGACATTTCCATAGGTGAAAGGGATTGACTTTTGATTTTAAAAGAGACCTCTTCATCATAAAGAAGGGAAAGAATAGACTGTGAGTATGACTATAGGTTCGTCTGCCTTTTCTAAATCTAGCTTGTATATCTGAAGTTCTCGGTTCATATACTGCTAAAGCCCAGCTTGAAGGATTTTGAGCATTACCTTGCTAGCATGTGAAATGAGTGCAATTGTATGGTAGTTTGGACATTTTCTGAGGGATCAAATTGCCAGCATTCATTGGATCATAGAGAAAGCAAAGGGATTCCAAAAATACATCTACTTCTGCTTCATTGACTATACTAAAGCCTTTGACTGTGTGGATCACAAAAAATAATGAAAAATTCTTAAAGAGGTGGGGATACCAGACCACCTTACCTGTCTCCTGAGAAACCTGTATGCAGGATGGAAAGCAATAGTTAGAACCTTACATGGGCAACTGTCCAAAATTGGGAAAGAAGTATGTCAAGGTTGTATATTGTCACCCTGCTTATTTAACTTATATACAGAGTACATCTTGCAAAATGTCAGGCTGGTTCACTCATAAGCTGGAATCAAGATTGCTGGAAGAAATATCAACAACCTCAGATATGCAGGTGTTACCACCCTAGTGACAGAAAGCGAAGAGCTAAAAAGCCTCTTGATGAGGGTGAAAGATGAGAGTGAAAAAGCTGGGTTAAAACTCAACAGTCAGAAAACTTAAGATCCAAAAAAAAAAGAAAACTTAAGATCATGGCATCTGGTCCCATCACTTCATGGCAAATAGATGGGGAAAAAGTGGAAACAGTGACAGATTTTATTTTCCTGGGCTCCAGAATCACTGTGGATGGTGACTGCAGCCATGAAATTAAAAGACACTTGCTCCTTGGAAGAAAAACAGTGACATCACTTCACCAACAAAAGTCCATATAGTCAAAGCTATGGTTTTTCCAGTAGTCATGTACACATGTGAGAGTTGGACCATAAAGAAGGCTGCATGCTGAAGAGTTGATGCTATGGTGCTGGAGAAGACTTTTGAGAGTCCCTTGTACTACAAGATCAAACCAGTGAATCCTAAAGGAAATCAACCCTGAATATTCATTGGAAGCACTGATACTGAAGTTGAAACTCAAATACTTTGGCCACCTGAATGGGAAGAGCTGATTCATTGGAAAAGACCCTGATGCTGGGAAAGATTGAAGGCAGGAAGAGAAGGGGGCGACAGAGGATGAGATGGCTGGATGGCATCACCAACTTAATGGACTTGAGTTTGAGTGAACAGGGAAGTCTGTGGTGCTGCAGTTCATGGGGTAGCAAAGAGTCAGATACGACTGAGCGACTGAACAACGAATAACAGCAATGGCTACAGGTAGGTTTATAGATTTGATGGCAGGAAATAGAGAAAGTTATTATTTCAATACTTCTATTTTCTATTATGTGGAAGGCAAGATCATTTACTGATCAGGAACAGAAAGTTTTCTAACATTTCACTTTTGAAGGACCCTGAGATTTTTAGGGCCATTTTATGCACTCATATTTTATGATCACTTTATTTTGTATCTTCCTGCTTCTGTAACCTCTTTGGAACACCTAGAGTAGAAACACAGTTCATTCCATGGAAGTCTAGATATACTTTCAACAAAAAATAAATTTAATATCTGGATAGAATATTTTCTCAACACTGTATAGATAAAAGGTGTCTGTAACTAGGGACCTATAATAATAATAAACTACCAGTCTATAATAAATTGGCAGTCAGTCAAAAGTATCTGTAAGTGTATTATTCTGTTAATGGGGCTTATTTTTACTGTGATTTGTAGAAAAGATTTTTATGCTTTCTGGTACCCATATCATTATCTCATTTAATTTTCACAACTCCCCTGTGAGGAGTGGATATTATTATTCCCACTTTACATCCGAGAGATCAGGCTTTAAATAATTCAAATCCAACCTAGTTAACCAGGACTGGCAGCGCTTTCCTCTGTATTTTAAGGCTGGAATTGCTTAACTTTTGCATTACATTATTAGATTTTCTTCTGTTTTGCCAATTTACAAAATGTGATGGCTTTATGTATATTGTTAATACAAATAATATATACTCTGTATAAAATTATTAGAGTATTTTACATAGAATAGACTTTTGTTCAGTCTTTAATGGTTAAAACTGCCCATTTTTAAAAAAAATAGAAAAATTGTCTAATTTATTTTCACATAATGTACATTTTATATATTAATAATCTACAAATTTAATATATGTATTTTGTATTTTTTATGAAATTAATATTTTAGAGACTGGTGAGTGAGATTAGGAAGAAGATTTAAGGTTAGAGATGCAAACTTTGGCTAGATAATATAACAGAAGTGCTAGGATACAAAAGCAAGAAATTTTATTTTCCTTTTTAGCCACACCACATGGTTTGTGGGATCTTAGTTCCCCAACTAGGAATTGAACCCCGGCCACAGCAGTGAAAACATTGTTTCCTAACCACTGGACAGCCATGGAATTCCCAAGAATTATTCTTAGTGGTGATCTAATTGTAGACTGTCAGAAACAAATGAACCTGAAGTATCCAGTACAGCATGGATACGTGTTTTGCTGTTTTACACTGCAGTTATGTCAAGGAACTGTTAAGTAATAACCAGCATTGTTATCAGTGGACCAATTATAGACTTTTTTGATAAACGTCAACATCTAAAAGATGAAGAAATTGAGGCTGGTGTCCATAAGAAGATAGGTTAGATATGCGTGAAATGACTACCGTTTTGATTAAAACATTTAAATATTCATGCGCTATGGATAGCAATAGCTTTCATAAAAACCCTTCTAGAATTTACCTTTCCTAAAGTGTTATTTGGAGAAAAATTATTAATAAGATTATAGTTCCTTCCCAACAGCCAATCTAATATACAACCTACATAGAATAAATTGTAAAACTTATATATTGTATAATATGTTGAAATGCATTGTGATAAGTATTAAACAAAAGGGTCAGACTTGTTCAGTGGAAAATTTTTACTTTTAAATTATCCTAGAACAAGGTAGACCCTAACTGAGTATTAAAAATATGTTAGGTCAAGCCTGAAATGTATTAGTAGAGAGAAGTAAGTAAACAGACAATGATAATTCAGTGTATGAAGTGCTGTAATAGTGTAAGTGAATTCTGTAATAGTCCAGAATTCTGTGGAATCACAGAAAAGGAGGACCTAATAACAGAGTAAGGTGGGATCATTACTATCTATGATATGAATCCTCAAGCACTTAGCATAGTGCTGAGCATATGGCGGCACTCAATATTTGATAAATTGAAATATACCTGGTTTTTTAAAAATGATCCTGCACTTAATTTTTGCTTAAAATAGTATCTTTAAACTTTATACCAATATGTTTTTCTTTATAAATACTTTTCATGTTGCTGTAGTCATTTCAGTGACCTTATAAATCAATCCGTGTCTACAGCTGATTCTTGAATGTAACTGCTACTAGACAACAGGAAGGACTTTGTACTCCAGGGAGAGCTGTGTCTCACAGTGCTGCACACGTAGTAAATGTTCGAGAGTAACTACTTAGGTTTTTTTTTATTTTAAGCTTCAGAATTTATTCAGTAATTTTGCTACACGTACCACAAGATTCTTTAAAGGAATTTCTTATTATTAATTATTAAGATTGTGCATAAGTGAAAACTTGAAAAGTATGATTCTTGTGCAATTATAAACACTATATTAGCCAATGGGAACTCTAAGTTATTGAAAGTCTTGTCCTTGGCAAATCTGAAGAAAAAATTGCTTACAAGCATTATACTAGGGACCCTTTATATGTGATTGGAATTAGAACTGATGCATATGAACAGTTAGAGATCAATGCTAAATTCTATGATAATGACTATAAAAACATTACAAATACACTGATTCAATATTAGACTCCAGCTTTATGAGACAGCCTATAGTAGGCCAAGAGATAGATGATACAGTCTGGAGAACAGGGAGGAAAACATAATCATTGCATAGTGTGCTTCAGTGCTACAGTAAGAAAGTACGAAGTTGCCATTGCTGTGTAAATTAAGAGCAGCAAGCGGAGCAGAGAGGGAAGAATTGATATGGATCGGATTAGTGATACAGGCTTAATTTTTTAAGAAATAGGCAATATTACATAATTTTATTGTACTATGTCTTGTTATTTGATGTATTTTTTAGGGACTTATTGTCTAGTATTTTTCTATTTTGTGAAAGGAGATTAAAAAACCCCAAGGGGCTGTTTATAAGTTATGAATTAGTTGAGATGCCAAGAACTCCTAATTCTCATTATACTATGGTGTAGCAATTATAAACTATATTCAAAGTCAAGTGGATATAACTCAGTGAGCAAGTAAGTTATCTACTTGGTCTACTATTTAATCAACTTAACAGTCCTTTTTCTTATTTCTTATTAAGGGTCTACTATATTTGTTGGTAACAGACCAAGGATTTCTCACTGAAGAAAAAGTTGTTTGGGAAAGCCTACACAATGTTGATGGTGATGGAAATTTCTGTGACTCAGAATTTCATCTGCGGCCTCCTTCAGATCCTGAAACTGTATACAGAGGACAACAAGATCAGATAGATCAGGTAAATATGTTGTTTTATCTTCATATTGTTTTATTGTTAAATGCTCATTCCTTTCAAATATGAATTTAGTTATTCAGAATTTTGAACTAAAGATTTGTTAATTAATATATCAATACTTGTGAAATTCTGATACTTCCTAAATAGGTAAATGATTATTCTGCATTAATTGTACACTTTGGTTCAGAAGGCCTGATTATATTGAACTGTGAAGGTCATGTTAAAGAGTTTGAATTTCGTTCTAATTGTAGGAGGGAAGATATGCCAGGTATTAAACATGGAAGTGACAATGATCTACTTTACCTTTTTTTTTAAAGTGAGGTAACATTAGTTTATAACATTATATGTTTCATATGTACAACAGTATATTTCTACTTCTGTAAAAAATATGGAATGCTTCACAAGTTTGCATGTCATCCTTGCATAGAGGCCATGTTAATCTTCTCTGTATCATTCCAATTTTAGTATATATGCTGCCAAAGGAAGCACTACTTTACCTTTTTAAAAACCTGCTATGTGGCAAATGCATAGGAAGGACACTGGTGTAAGCAAATTAGCAATTTGCTTAGCCTTAGTGGTAGAAACGAAGAGATGAGTACCTATTTGAGATCTATTTTGGTTAGTCAGAAAGAAGTAGAACAGAGAGAGTCTTCAAGATTGCATGCACTGGGTAAAGAGTAGGGGCTATTCTAAGCCTTAGAATCAAGGTAAGGAGGAACAAATACTTTTACAGTGGGAGCTGCACTGCTGGTAGAATTCTTATTTAGAACTGAGATAAATGAAATTTTTGCTTGTTGGCGGGTAGGCTTAGAGCCACAATTGTGTTTATTACTAGAAGTCTAACAGTGATGTGACATTTTCTTTAACTGAGGCAGAAATATGGTTATGTTAAACAGTTGGCACATGTTTTACTGATAACAATTTAAGTGCATAGAGACTGTGTTCATTTAACCAGTATTCATTGAGCAGTTGTATTGAACACTGTAACTAGGTCCTGGGGACACAAAGATAAATCATTCTGTCCTGTTCTCAGAGATCTGGTAGTCAGTTGGGGAGGCAGGTATTTTACCAACTAATATATAAGTTCTGTAATGGCAGTTTGAATAGCAGGCTGTGAATGGACAAAAGAATACTTGATTCAAACAAATGCTAATCTTTCTAGGACTCTCAACTTTGCTTTGACAAACAGCCATAGTAATCCATACTCATTTTCCTCCAGAAGATATACAGGGGCATTGTTTTTAAATGTTATTTAAGAGAAATATATAAGATTTTTAAACCACTGTATATAAAAAATATTGGCACAGAGGGATTGTAGTAAAGCAGTAGATTGCCATAGTAATCTAGTCATAAGATCTTGAGAATATACGTATGATATTGTTTGCAAAGTACAAAGAAGGGGGTCTTTGCTGCTGGTCCAGTGGCTAAGATTTCACAGTCCCAAGGCAGGGGGCCCAGGTTCAATCCCTGCTTAGGGGACTAGATCCCACATGCTGTTACTAAGAGTTCACATGCCACAACTGAAAAATGATCCCGCACTTCAGATTGAAGATCCCATGTACATCAACTAAAGATCTCCCTTACCACAGCTAGGACCCAGTGCAGCCAAATAAGTGAATAAATAAAAATAAATACTTTTTTAAAGTATAAAAGACTTGACAAAGAATGGAGTTTGAAGAATCCAGGAGAAAATTGTGAAGGACAATTTCTTGATGCCTCTAAGATGATCATGCTAGATAGTACAAAGTGTTCACAGGCGATGACCTTTAACATAACTTCTGTGATTATTTATAATTCTCTTACTTTGAGAGTGTGCTGGGGGAGGTGCACAGAATAGTCAAGTTTCATTCAGCACTAATTTCATAATAAAAGTGGATATTAAGTTTAGATGTATAACTTTTGACCAAAGATGCGTCACTTTATCTCATAGGAAATAATCTGAGTGTGTGTGTAGGAGGAAGAAGAGCGTAATTAAGTAATTGAATATGATTGTTTGGTGGACAGCTACATTGGCTTTAAAAATTGTCTTTGGAATACTATTTAATAAATAATTTGGGTCTGTGTTTACGATTCTTTTAAAACAGAAGACTTTTATGCTATTAAATAGAAAATAGATTATGATAGTTTTCAGGAGTTGGAAGATGTGTTTGAATCCGTATGTGAATATAGAAAAAACCAAGATGAATTATATATTAATTGTTAACAGTAGTTGACTCTGTGATGATGATATGGTAATCTTAACTCTCCTATTTATGCTTTTTTATTTTGTATCAATTTTCTATAGACCTGTGCTTCTCTCCTTTATAAACTTTCTTGAATGCCTTATATACTGCTTCTAGAAAGAATTTTGAATGAATTTTTAAAATATTGATAACAATGGCAGTATTGCTGAAATAATACTATTTCCCAAACATAAATAGTAAACTTATATTTAACATCCTAGTATGTTTTTCAAAAGCCATTTTCATAGATTTCTAGATATACTCTCTGTATTTATACACATTAGTTCTTGGGTAAAATCTCACAGCTAAAGATGGTTATCATTTAATTTCTTAGGACTATCTTATGGCTTTATCTTTACAACAAGAACAGCAAAGCCAAGATATCAATTGGGAACAAATACCTGAAGGAATCAGTGATTTGGAACTAGCAAAGAAACTCCAAGAAGAAGAGGATCGACGAGCTTCTCAATATTACCAGGAACAGGAGCAAGCGGCAGCAGCTGCTGCTTCTGCTGCTGCTTCTGCGTCTGCTTCTACACAGGCCCCGGTAAAGACTAGTGCTCTGACTCTGAAATACAAGGATCATTTTAGCAATAAAGAAATGTGTGCTGAGATCAAAACTTTTAGGTTAGGTATTGACTCTTTGTTAGCATTTTAGCATCCATGGGTTTTATGACACAGTCCTAAGTTTGTGATTATCTTAATATATTTCTAATTTAGTTAAATTTATTTTTTCTGAGGTTTTGATGGCAAGATTTTCTAAATTAAATTCTTAATAGCTTCATACAATATAAACCAATTTGAACAAATCTTTCCTATCAGTTAGAAGGCAGTATGAGGTACTGCTGGAAAGAATGGACTTTGGAGCCAGATAAATGTGGATTTGCATTTTCTGCTTCTGTCTCCCCTTACTACACCATGGGCAAAGTCCTCTACCTCTGTTAACCTCATTTTCCCTATTTGTAAAGTAGAAGATAATACTTAACTCTTAGGTTTGTGGTTAAGAGCAAATAATGTTGCACTTAATCCAACGTCTAGTGTGTCCTGAGTATTCAACAAAGGTTATTAGCACCTTTCCACTCTTCCCTTTTCCCAGTTAAATGTTATAAGCACTGGAAATATGACTAAGGTGTTTCTATTAGTTAAATCTCATTAAATGAAAAAAAAATTCTCCTTCTTTTATGTTTAACTGTACCATGCTACAACTGTTCCTTTGATTTAGGTGTACTAGGAAGCTTGATATCTTTTAAGTTACGATGAAACTTTAAATATAGAGGTCTCTATTAACATAGGTATAACATTTCTATTTCCAGCTCAAATATTGATTACTCCAAGCTTAAAAGTTAACACCTTCCATGTTATGGTTAGCTTTTCACTGAAGTTCTCTTATTTCACAGAATACACATTTCATACCAAGTCCTCAGGTTCTTTTTCCCTCGTTTTAAAATCTGTTATAGTATGTGTAATAAAATCTTGGAGAACTACTATAGTTTGCCAGAAAGGTGTCACTTTCTTTAACTGTCCCAAACTTTAACATAAATTGTCTTTAAATTGAATCTTTGGGCGACATAATGCTACATGTTATTTATTGTTAATTTACTTACAATAATAGATACATTAATTATATCTATTCTGAATGATAGAGGCAATTACGCAGATACCATATAACATTAAAAATTTATATACCAGTTTTTTTTCCATTAATGATTCCTTTCACTCTCATGGTTTTTCTTTCTAGGTAACTCTGCTTAAGCATCTTAGAAAAATTGTGATAATTTCTTCCTGTTTATTTTCCTTAAAGCAAAGCCAGCCAGCACAAGCCTCTCCGTCAAGTGGCAGACAATCTGGAAACAGTGAACGTAAACGAAAGGAACCACGAGAAAAAGATAAAGAAAAGGAAAAGGAGAAAAATAGCTGTGTCATTTTGTAACAAGTGGATTCTGTTGGAGCCATCTGTATGTCTTCAGAAACAACCATAGGAGGAAAGGAAGAAAAACCGATAAATACCGTCTGTGCCTGATTTCCCAATGGATTTTGTTCATGTTTATCAGGGGAAAGGTTGTTACTTAATTACAATCAGACTTTTTAAAATCACACAGTACACTCTTTATGAGCTGGAGTTTCATGTTACAAGTTGGAAATGCTGTGTTGTCATTCATGAAAAATAATGCACTTGTAGCCAAATAAGTAAATAACAGCAAATTTTGTGTCATAGTGACATTCATAACTCATATCAGTTAGTAAGCTATTTCATCTTCTGTTCTAACAATGAATAGAGATAATTGATTTTGTCTGATTCCTTCCTCAAATCTAAATATTAGCACAATAGTTTCTTAAATTAATTTTTACAATGTTAAATTATGATCTGATCCATGAGAAACCAGGGGTTTAATATAGATTTAAAAAGGAGAAAAAAAGACAAAAATAATAAGAATAAATAACCCTCAGTTGTATATTGGACTAGTTCAGCCCTTGAACAGCTTTACCTTTCTTTAGGAATGTACATTTTAGATATACCTTGAGAAACTGATAATGGAACTTGGATTTAATTTAGATAGAAAAAAAAAATAAAGGTTTGTATTTCTTTTCCAGTAACAAAATTAGATAACACTAAAACTCATCAAAATCAGATCTTAATAACTTTGTAGTGTTGTAAAATTTTGAGGAGTTTTAAAATCTTTAATATAGGTTACTTGGACCACAGTTACTATTTATTCAGTGTGACAAGTGAGTATAAAGAGGAAACCATAGTGGATGCTAGCCCTTGTAAATATAGGGATGTACAAAAAGAGATAGTTCAGTGTCTACCTTTTTCTATGATTACCTTGAACCTTAAAATTTAAATCATGTTTATTTTGTAGAAAATTAAGTATACTTATTAAATAAAAAAAAGCACATTTCTGAAAGGATGTTAGACAGAGATAATCTCTGAGTCTAGTGGAAAAGCATTATTAAAAATCTGTTTGACGATAGATAAGAATTTGGAGGAATTTATGTAGAAACAATCAAGATTTTTCTAACTTATGAGAACCAAATAACCTATAACATCTTATAGTGTTTCTAGGATTCAGAAAGAATATTTATTGAACTTTATTATGAGGCAACACATATTTTCCTGTATTTCTATAGTTTCAAAAACTATCCTTGATAGTCCTTTTTATATGCTTTATATTTAAAAGTTTGTTTTAGTCATTTTGAAAAGACTATTGCTGCTGTAAGTAGTTATGTGATTTACATTCTAAGCCTCAGTAAATTTGTCTGTTCAAGAGCATCTTAATTTAACCTGAGCATCCACTTAGAGAATGCTTTTTGTGGTCTAGGGGACGAAAGACTACAAAAAAAAAAGGTAGTCTTGATTTCTTAAGCTATGTCTTTAACATTCTCTGTGATCCAAGACCAGTTGTAGGATAAATCTATATGTAAAAAGTAAAGTCTTATTTATGGATGAAGTTATTCTAAGGGAAATATTCAGGGTCAAGCTGTATCTTTTATGTCCGCCTGTATCACATGTCTCTTTATGTTATACCATTTGTTATTCCTTCAGATTTCACATGCTAGCATGATAAGTCATCAGAGAACCTGTTTGGTTTATAAAACTTTCATACAAAATATTTGGTGAGCCTCTTGACCGTAATCCAGAATATGCATATATTGCTCAAGTAATCAGATATAAGATGTATTACACAGTTCTCTATTAGCTCAAACAAGTTGATTTTTAGGCCAAGTTTATTCTTGATGTCACTCTGTTGGTTAAAGGAGGAAACTCAAACCTCACAGTTTGTTTTTCCCAGAACAGATAGTAGTGTCGGTGCATTATATTTTATTAAGAAACAAAACAATAAATCATGAGGAATTTTTTAAAATGTATTTGAGGCATGATTTTCCATAATTATAGTCTTAACTATTCATTGCCCTTGAAAAACATGTGTAGAAGTTATTCCTCTGTTGTTACTGTCTTCTTAATTTGTTCCAAAGACAACACTGCCATTCTGCATTCCCATTGAAGGAAGAAAAATTTACTCAAAACCAGCAGTGCTGCTATCAGATAAGTAAATGTCAATGTATACTTATAAGAAATAAGTAAGAAATGTAATGTGTTTGTTAATTCAGCCTTTTTCTATATAATATTTCCCAGTTGGGCTTTCTTACATTCCTGGAATTCAGTTTGGTATACCAAGAGTAATAATGATAAAATGTTTACTTTGAATACTGTGGGGGAAAAATTAAATGTTTAATTCTGTTAAAAAAATGTCTTATAGAGATCTGGTTTTGCATCCTTGAAAGTAAAAAAGAATTTAGAGTGATTATGTTTTTATTTTGCTCAAGTCAGCAAATTACATATTCAGACATTTCATTGTTGGTTTGGGTATATTGGAATTTGATAGTGGTATATTAGTCTTTCCTTCACAGTATTTTGTAATGCTTGAAAATTGTTGCATGTATAAGACTAGCAGAAATTAGAACATAAACAATTTTGTTTTTAAGATTTATAGGCTAGATTAGAGGCACATTTGCATCAACCAGTCACCATTAGAGCTAGCAAAAGAGGCAGATGAATGAATGGATACGGTCGTTGAACTTTCTTGTACTTTCAAAGACTGTTCCTTAAGGTTAGTGACCAGTCTTTATTAACAGTATGAAAATTTTCTCATGCCAATCCCATTGAATCAACAGTGCTGTGATTTACAGTGTTACTAACACTTAAAAATTGTGTGTGTGTGTGTGTGTGTATTTCTGAAGCAAGGATCTATGACTTCTAATAGATTCTCAAGGGAATCTAGGAACTTTCCTCAAATTTAAGAGTCATCATTGTAAGCATACACACACCAAGCTATTTGAGGTAGTTAAAACTGGCATTTGGCTGCTTCCTGTAAAATGCTAGTTCAATGTGCATAGGTAAAGTAACTTATTTCATGTTTCAAGGTGTCCAGTAAGTAGTTGAATGAGACATAGATTTAAGTATTAGAATTAGGCTTTGGGATATATTTTCTGTCTCACATCTCTAGTATTTGACTACTTACCCCACATTATGTTTTGAATTCTTCCCCATACTTCTTGATCTTAGCTTAATTAACAAGCAGTGTACTATCAGATTGATTGAGTCCAACATTAACCATTTTGTACCTTCACAAAACCGTAACATTTTGTTTTCAATGAATAACCAGCTCAGTTCACTAAGAGACAAAATATCTCGAGAGGAAAGAGGACTAGAAGTCAAATATATATTTAAGAAGAGAACTGTATTAATGTTGGCCTTTCAAGCAGATACTTATAAAATTCTGCTGGACAAAAATCAAGGCAAGAATTTCTAGAGCTGTCCTAAAACAAATCTTTTTTTTTTTTAAAAAGCAAATTGATAGCATTTCATTATAGTAAAACATGATGGAAAGCTTATGGGTTTTACCTATCACAAAATATTTGGACATACAACTTAAAGCCTAATAATAAATTTACTAAAATTTGATAAAAATAAGATGGCATTAAAGATAGCATATAATTTGTATTTTAAGGAATGGGAAATGTGAAATTCTGAAGCATTTTGTCTGAAAACCTGACTTTTATCCTGCCTTCAGCAAATTTACTGTGCCTCAGTTTACTCTATGTATCTAAAGAGTGCTCATTTTTAGTGCTTTGCACCTTCGAATATAGGGCATAGTATAAGCACAGGGTATTATTGAAATAATCATAAATATTACACACCTTTTGCTCTTGAATGTGTAGGTTTTTTCCCCCAATGGCAATATTTCTAAAGCCAGATTTTTCTGAATGCCGTTAAAGTGTGGAGAGTTGTTTTGTGTTTGAGTATGGCATCATCTCTTCCCCAGGTGTGTGTTTGTTTTGTTTTACTGCACTGCACAATATGTGGGATCTTAATTCCCAAACCAGGGATCGAACCCATGCCCCCTGCAGTAGAAGTGCTGAATCTTAACCACTGGACACCAGGGAATTCCCTCTTCCACACATGTAGAATTTTACAGTTGCTTTTGTGTTCTGTAGGGCTACAGAATCAAAACCAAGAGTATTTGGGAGTATAAAAGCATTGAAAATCTATTTTTTCCAGTATCTTTAATATATCTAAATATTTAGATTCTGTTCCTTCATGGAACAAAGTACAGTGGGATCAGATTACTGATACATATATGTAAACTTTTTTGCTGGATGAAATTCATTTATATCTCTTATGTACTGTCCTTTTTAGGATTATTTAAATTATTATTATTTTTTTAACTATAAACTGTTATTTGATAATATACAGTTAAATTTCTACTAGAAAGTAACCAAAAATAGTAAAAGAACTAACTGCAATCAGAGTTCAGTTCTTAGGTCCTCTAGTTATTGAGTGTCATTTTTACAGATGTCTGACACTCTTGGGAAAACATGAAAAATTGTGGTTACTCTTTTGGAGTTTCACTTTAAAACTAAAATTATAATCAAAGTCTTCTTGAATAAAATATACTGCAATACAGAGATAATGCAGTCTAAAGGAACAAATTGCAGGACCCTGTTAATTTATTTTGAAGATTTATCTAAATTTTAACTCATGCATGTCTCTTTCTTAATCCCATTGTTTCTGCTGTTAGAAATTAGAGTTTAGTAAATTGTGATATGCATATATGTATTTTACATGAAGGATTCTAATGTCTAACTTTCCTTTTCTGATCTCAAAAAAAGTTCAACTCATAATGCAGGGCAAAAGTGTTCAACTGTTGCCTCAAGCTTAGCTTTATACTGTTGATCTGAGAAAGAGTGAGATTTAGACTTGTCTACATATAATACATTTTTTTACAGCATAGGACTGTCCCAGAAAAGGTGTTAAAATACCATGGCAGAAACATAAAACCTAAGCTTTAAACCACTGTAGATTTAAAGATCAAAAAGCTGTAGTACTATGTTACAATGTCTCTACTTAGTCTGATATTAACCCTAAGAATTCCTTCAAACCACTTAATAATTTGTCACGATTAACTTTAAAGAATTGTTATCTGTCCTTACTGCAGTATCCTGACAGGCAGAGGCACCCTAGATTAGATGGTAGACAAAGCAAAATATTTCTGAAGGTGATCCTGGCTTCTTTGGCACTAGTGTAGTTACAGCTTTAAGAATTCAGGAAACTATGAAATACATTTAAATTCTCAAATCAAAGACCTGTCCAAGTGAGTGTTATAACTGAAATACCCTGCAGAACAGTTCTAACTAATGAAATGTGTTTTAAGACTAAGATTGGTGTTTAATCTGTCCTATATGTCTCTCAATTTTATCTGTTTTTGTTGTTTTTTACATGGTAGTTGAATGAAATAGCCATTTTTTCCAGGGTATATAGGATATCCTGGAGCTTTACAGATTTTTAAAGATGAGAATTTGAAAAGCTTCCAGTGGTTTTTGTTAAAATGCTGTTTTCTTAATAAAATGATAACTATTGTTTTTACAGATCCACACATCACAAGTAGGATAATATGATCGGAGACTGATGTGTGCTTGCTACCCAACAATCAGCAAAAGGCATAATCTTCACTTGTGAAACTTCAGAGGTACCCTGAAAGTAGTTTCCTAAAGTTAGTGCATGTGTCTTTTTTCCTTGAATTGTACAGAATAATTGGGATGTGGCACATACTTGGGGGCCTAGCAAGTGAAGTGCTGTAACGACTGCAGAGAAAGTGATCTTGAAATGTAACAAGAAAAAAGGTTTTCTTATTCTCCCACTTTATTGTCCAGCTATTTGGGTCAGGAGGTTGCTATGATAGATCTCTGTACCAGGCCAAGACTGGCCAACTGAAATAGAGTTCTCAAAAAGTTTAAATATATCGACTGTGTACGAGTGCCTATTTTTTTCTCCTTCTTTCCTTTACTATCTTAATGCCCTTTCTGCTTCTGAAATAATACATCTGTTTTGCTTTATGACCAGCTTGAATTCCAGTTGTAGAATAATAGCAGCCCTAGAGGTTGATAGAAAAGAGCATCAAAATGCAGTTTTTGAATAAAAACACCTAAAAGCATCTCTCCAGCTTAGGGTTGAACTGAATTTTTAAGAAAATGATTGTTTTATATGGTAATTATGCTAAAACTATTTGAATTTAAAAACTAAGTTTCAGAAGTTTCACTTTTGGAGGATACTCCTATAAGGGGCATATTGAACAAAGATGAGAAAGTATAAAATATTTCTGAAGGAATTATTCAGTATTATTCAACTTTTAGTTTCATGTTTGTTATTGTACCACAAAGATAGTGTCATTTTTGGATTAAAATGTTAGATTTTTGTTAATATACTTAAATCTGTAACCAGTGGTAACACTATTAGTATTTTTTATTATAGATTATATTTTATTTCAATAAACTTTGATATTTAGACCCAAAAGTATTTCTGCTATGTATATTCATCTCATTAAGCTACTTCTTATAAACATAAAATAAGTGGGAAAATGGGGAATTAACATTAATTCACATTTACCTAGGATTGGCTCGTAACATACTTGGACCAACTCTTTTTTTTAAACTTTTTTTTTTTTAATCTTTTCCAGTGTGTCTGTTTTTGTGCCAGTACCATACTGTGTTGATTACTATGGTTTTGTAGTATAGTTTGAAATCTGGAAGGGTAATACCTCCACCTTATACTTTTTTCTCTGGATTGCTTTGGCTTTTCAGGGTGTTAGGATTGTTTTTCTATTTCTGTGAAGAATGTCTTTGGCATATTGATGGGTAATGCATTGAATCTGTGAATGGCTTTGGGTAGTATGGCCACTTTAACAGTATTAATTCTTCCAATCTGTAAGCATGGGATATAATTTCATTTGTCCTCTTCAATTTCTGTGAAGTTTTATAGTTTTCATTATACAGATATTTCACTTACTTGGTTAAATTTATTCCTAAGTATTTTACTGTTTTTGATGCCATTTTAAATGAGATAAGTTCATTTCTTCTTTAAATACTTCATTGATTTTGTATGTTGATGTTTAGCATAGCAAGGCAGCCATGCTCATTACTATACACCAGTGCTGCATTGTATATTGATTTATATATCCTGCCACTTTACTGAAATTATTGACTAATTCCAAGATTTTTGAATTAGTTGGGAATTTTGAATTCTTGGGATTTTCTATATCATATTATGATCCTATATGACATTTTAACTTATTTCTTTCTTTCTGATTTGGATGCCTTTTATTTCTTTATCTTGACTAATTGCTCTCGCTAGGATTTCCAGAACTGTATTGAATAGGTGTGATAAAACTGGGCATCCTTGCCTTATTCCTGATCTTAGGGAAACATTTTCACTTTCTCTCCATTCTGTATAATATTAGCTGTGGGTTTGTTGTATATGGCCTTTATTATGTTGAGGCATGTTCCTACTATATCCAATATGTTAAGGGTTTTTATCATAAAATGATACTGCATTTTGTCAAATGCTTTTCCTGCATCTGTTGAGATGAGCAGGTGATTTTTACCTTTCATTTTATTGGTGTGATGTATTACAGAGGTCCTAAATCTTTTTGGCACCAGGGACCAGTTTCATGGAATAGTTTTTTCATGGTCCAGTGTGGGGGAGGATGGTTGCCAGATGATTAAAGTACATTACATTTATTGTGCACTTTATTTCTATTATTACATTGTGATATACAATGAAATAATTATACAAATCACCATAATGCAGAATCAGTGGGAGCCCTGAGCTTGTTTTCCTGCAACTAGACAATTCCCTCTGGGAGTGATGGGAGACAGTGACACCTAAATTATGTTGCTTATGTCCAGTCTACTCTGTAATCTCATTTGGTCACTGTCACTACAGAAAACCCTGCTTTATAAAGATAGGATGTGGGAAAATGGAAGCAGGATTTTCAGTGCTTCTGTGGCAATATCAGGATATTCCACCTTGACTTTAATCCAGAATCTATGGAGAGTTGAAGTTGTCGCAAATGTAATTTTAAGGCCACCGTCATTTGCATTCTCAAGCAGTGGATCCTCTTCTAGCACAAAGTTGATTCATCTGTCTTATTAAAAAATGGGTTGCGGATCCATTCTTTCCCAGTTTGGGGGCCTTTTGTAGTTGGAAAGTAATGCTCAAACTTTTTTGAAAGCTGAGACGGGTGATCATGCACCAGCTGGGAGAAAGAAGGCCCTGGCTCAGTCTCTTTCTAAATCTCTGGTAATGTTTGAAATGTCAAAAATCCCAATGTTCATTTGTCTCCTCCACAGTTCCAGTTTGGCTTTGAATGTACCTTGATAAAAGTTGTTTCTCTCCCCTAAAGTGACAGATTGAGTTTGTTGAGCAGGTTGAATATGTCACACAAGTAAGCAGATTTTGTGACCTATTCTATGTCACCGAAATGTGCTGCCAGTGGTAACTGATTTTCTAGAAGAAATTTCTGAAGAGGCTCTTGTAACTCAAAAACTCTGGCCAGTGATCTACCTTTAGAAAGCCATCTCACTACTGTGTATAATAGATGTATGTGTCTGTCTCCTTTCAGAGCTGTGCAAACAGACATGGGTTAAAGGCATGTACTTTCATATGGTTGACAATTTTAATCACATCCTGCAAAAACAGTTAAGTTCAGGTGACATTTTTCAGCTTACTAGCATTCCTCTATGGATGACACAGTGTGTAGGTTCACATTCAGACGTAGTGAAACCAGAAAGTCATCCAGACACGGCAGCCGCTCCATCTGTGCATATACCGACACAAAATGACCAATTCAATTTTCCTGATATGTAATCATTCAAAGACTTGAATAGTTCTACAGCTGTGATGTTGGTTGGCAACAGAAGTGCACACAACCTATTCTCATGCACATCCTCCTGAAAAATAGATCACACAAAAAACAGCATTGTTGCCTCCTTGTCAACCTTGAGACACTCATCAACCTGGGTTGCGCACCACAGTGACTCATTAATCCTTTATAACTATTGTGCCTCAATATCCTCTGCTATTTTTTCAGTTTGTCTAGTTACGGTGCTCCCCAAGAGAGGAACATGTGCCACCGTTTCAACTGCAACCTCTTCTAAAAATTCAGAACAAATGTCCTTAGCAGCAGGCAGGATCAACTCTTCAATAGTAAAGGGCTTCTTAGCTTTACCAATGCGGTTAGCCACTAAGAAGGATGCTTTTGGCAGACACATTTGATTAAGTGGTGGCCTTCAGTTATTGCTTCCGTTCTTCACATTCACAGTTTTTTTCTTTTGAAAAACTCCAAAGGCTTGTCTTTTGATGGAGAGTCTCCATCAAAAGCTTGGTCTCCATGTGGGGAAGCAGTTTTAAAGGTTCCATGGCTTTGTTCAGTAGCTGGTCACCACAGATTATACAAAGCAGACTTGGAGAAGTGAATCACATGTTGCAGTGAACCCATAATTTAAGTCGGACTCTTAGTGTTTTCTTTTAAATGCAGCTTTCTTTTTGTTGGCAGCCTTAGAGTCTTCTGCTGTCTCATCATTGGGGCTTTCCACCTTTTCAAAGAAGCCCTTCAGTAACATTGGTTTTTCATTCATTTTGGCTAGGGTTGGCTTGTGGGCTTCGACTTCCCAGGTAGCTCAAATGGTAAAGAATCTGCCTGCAGTGCAGAGGACCTGGGTTCACTCCCTGGGTTGGGAAGGTCATGGCAACCCACTCCAGTATTGTTGCCTGGAGAATTCCATGGACAGAGGAGCCTTGTGGGCTACAATCCATAGGGTTGCAAAGAGTCAGACACGACTGAGTGACTAACACACACACACACAGCTTTTGGACTTAACCAATATTGTGGCTGAGACAAGTATGTAGTACAGTAAAGAGGCACAGACTGGAGCGGCAGACAGAATAATGGGAGGGCCATGCATGGACTAAAATAAGTGTTGGATTCTGATTTCAAGTCAGAATCATCATCTGCCTGTCACCAGATGCAGCTGTACAGTTGAAGTACGTCAACTCAGTTGCCACTATAAAGCCTGCTACCAGATGTAATTTAACTGTCACTTGTCACTCACTGATAGGGTTTTGATATGAGTCTGCAACCAGTTGATTTATTATGGTCTCTGTGCAGTCAAACTTCTCTGCTAATGATAATCTGTATTTGCTAATGATAATCTGTATTTCCAACTTCAGGGTAAATTTTAATGCTGTTTATAATTTAGTTGCCTAGTATATAGTTACATTATCACTCTAGCTCTGAGATTTTATTTATATGCTGAGATACATATCAATCAAATTGACAAAATTTTTTTAAATTTTTATTAGTTGGAGGCTAATTACTTTACATCATTACAGTAGTTTTTGTTATACATTGATATGAATTAGCCCTGGATTTACATGTATTCCCCATCCCAGTCCCCCCTCCCACCTCCCTCTCCACCCGATCCCTCTGGGTCTTCCCAGTGCACCAGGCCCGAGCACTTGTCTCATGTACCCAACCTGAGCTGGTAAAATATTAAAAGCAACAATAGAAAAGCAGCATCAAAGGGACTCTTGATAAGGTTATCAGCTGATTTTCTCACCAGAAAAAGCTCAAGCTCAATAGATACAGATAAGGCTTTTGATAAAATTCACTATGATTTATAATAAAAACTCTATGGAAAGTGTAACCTACCTCAACACAATAAAGGCCATATATGACAAACCAACAGCTAACATATTCAGTGGTAAAAAGCTCAAAGCATTTCCTCTAAGATCAGAAACAAGACAAGGATGTCCTCTCTCTACTTTTACTCAACATAGTTTTGGAAGTCCTAGCCACGACAGTCAGAGAAGAAAAAGAAATAAAAGGAATCCAACCAGAAAAAGAAGAAGTAAAACTAACTGTTTTTAGAAAATCCTAAAGACACTACCAGAAAAGTACTAGAACTCATCAATGAGTTCGGTAAAGTTGCAGGATACAAAATTAATACACAGAAATCCCTTCCGTCTCTATTCACTAACAATAAAAGATCAGAAAGAGAAATTAAGGAAACAGTCCCATTTTCCATTGCATCAAAAATAGTAAAAAATAACCTACTTAAGGAGGCTAAAGACCTGTACTCTGAAAACTGTAAGACACTGAGGAAAGAAATCAAAGATGACACAAAGAGATGGAAAGATATACCAAGTTCTTGGATTGGAAGAATCAGTATTGTCAGATGAATATTCTACTCAAGACAATCTATAGATTCAATGTAATCCCTATTCAATTACCAATGCAGTTCCCTCCCATACCCACCTGCTCTAGTCACTGTGATTTCTCTTTTTTTTTCTTCTTTTTTTTTTTCCTCTGTGATCTCTCTTTGAAGAGAGCAGCTGGTCACTAGAGCCACTCACCCACTCACTGCCTTCGACCTCCTCCTCCTCGTCCTCTGGTTCCCGGTGAACCAACTTCTACCTTCTCTGCCATAATCACCTCTGCCACTGCTGGCTCCACC